TCGGTAATGTTCCCAAACATATCTAAGGGGTGATAATGGAGAGTCGAATAGGGAAAATCTCACACATTTTTACCGCACATACTATGCGCCTCCGATTAGACTGAACTCGGCTCATTTGCATATGCTAATTGAAGATCAGCGATTGGCGATACAATGAACAACAGCACTTTCCCAAAAATAATGGAGGGCCAATTAAAGATTCGTTACGATCGCCGAAGATCGGGATAGATAGTTGTGCAGCAATGTAATTGAGTAATTAGTGGTGGCGAAACAATTGTAAATGAAATAAGTCCACACCGAGCCCCTACTTTTGGGTGTGTTACAAACATATATGTATATGTACATGCATTCATTCATAGGCATGTGCATTATCTTCTGAACTTGACCCATACACACACCCGCATGCACAAAATGCAAGGAAGGTAATTCAATATAAAGGCACGTCCGTCTCTCCTCCAGTGCAGCCAACTCTTCGAGTCATATTAACTAGCTTAAAAAAATAGTGGTAGCTTAAAAGAACGCTGGAGTAGACATTGAATGCGGTGTCTTGCATCCGGGCATGACTCGGTTTTTGCTTATACTTATATCCTTAGGCATTCTCACCTGACACTCGCGATCGATTCATAAATTGTAAAATATTTCATCAATGACAGTGTCAAACTAGATTCAGTTAAGACTTCTTTTGAATTATCGATCTTGTTTTTACCATTCAAATGGAAAAAATGGTACAAAGTCTTTCATCGGAAAGCAAATAAATACTTAAAATTGTCAGATATTTTTAAAAAGTTAAAATTACGTCAATATGCTTGAAAAAGAGCTAAAAATAGCTCCCGCTAGCCGCTATATTACAATTAATCCCACGTTCGGCCATTTAAAAACGCTAGATCGAGTGGGAAAATAGCTAAATTGGCAACACTGCTCTCCTCTCTGTATTTGTTACTCTCTTGCTCTGAGAACCAAAGAAGCTTTTGCGCGCAACAGCACATTTTGTGCTGTCCAATACCCCTCTCTCTGACAGTCAGTGCTGCCACACAAGAATTGTTTTGATACTTTTTGTGCAGCATAAAAAATAAATGAACATGCAAAGCTAAAAGAAGCTAAACAAATTAACAAAACATGCTTTATGTATAAAACATAAACATTTTTTAAAAATTGTACGAGTACTTGCACTTGACAAAATTTCAGATATAGCCCTAAATAAGCTTAAATAGCACCACTGATGTCTCTCACTGTTGACTGTTGATCGGAATTTCGCTCTCTGCCGCTGTACACGTTGCCACCGATCAACATTCGTCATTGTTTTCTGTTTTCTGCCCGCTTGTACAGAACAAATTATTGAGGAATTAATAAGGAAAAGTAATCAAAAGAACAATAAAGTAAAAAGTCTGTGTAAAGTCAGGCCCATGTGATATCATACAATTGAATCTCCTACCCGTTCCGCTTCGAAAATAACAATTGTCGCGTGAGTTTGAAAGAAAGTGCTGGCAGCGCGTCTCTCTCTGTCTCACGGGAACTGTTTTTGTTACTATGTATTTGTTGTTGTTGCTGCTGTGCCGTGATTGTCGATTCTCGCAGTTTCATTTATCTTTGCCTCTGTTTTTCTACCTGTGTACAGCCAGCCGTCTGCGATTGAGTTTCTGTCCGTCTCCATCTCCAATTGTCTTTTATCGCTGCGCGCCTACCACACATTCGCAATTCAAACATCAATTCATTTGCCCAACAACCTTACAAGTTTTTGTCGAGAAGTATTTGTTTAGTCGAGTTCTAGGTGGCACCGACGCTACACCGGGAAATTCTCAAGTCTCAAGCATCTCTTACAGTTAGATATCGAACTAATATAACGATCGGAGACCTTATTCAAACGTACATACCAAGTGAAAGTGTGCCAGTGCTAGTGCCAGTGCCTTTTGCAAAAAAAAATAGATCAGCAACGAAAGCAAACCAATAAATCAACTGCAGCAGGCCGCCACTGCTCTTTCTTGCTGTCTGCCAAATATCGGGTTTCTAACAAGAAGAAAAAAACTTGATTCGAATTACCCAGAAATTCACCGTCTGAAATTCCGTCTGGACCAGTTTGGAAGGAAGCATTCTTGCTGGCGAATTTTCTATTCAACTTTTGTTCAAAGAAGTGCCGGTCGAATTATCAAAAGCTTAATTCATCTGTCAATGACCCACGTCGCCTGATTGCGACTCGATATTTTCCTTATCAATGCCTGATTTGATCTGTCACCTTTCGTTGTTTGGTTTGCTTTTGTTGCGACTGATGACACTCTGTGATAACTGTTTGTGGAAATTAGATAAGGAACTGTCTTTTCTCTCTTTCTCAGTCACTCTTGAAGAATAAGTTCGATTGGCGCTACTATTTTTCCAGTGCACGTATAAAGAGATAGTCACCTCGTATTTTAAAACCAGATACATTTTAATATTCATGTTAGCGTTCCGTGCGTGATCAAAAAGATAATAGTACTAGCCACTAAATTTAATCGCCAACGCAGGCCGAATCGATTGGTATTCCGTTAGACATCCACTAAATGTAGAGTGAGAGAGGGTCCGAACGGACGGCATCTATCCCCTCCTCTCACGCTAATGATAAGAGCTCGCCCCAGAGTCGTCATTTCTGTTCTACCAAAATGATAGTCATCAATGCCTTTGACGTAAGTGGTTTCCACACAGAAATTCCCCTACCTACCTCATATTCATATCTCATATGTTTGTATGTTGTTTGGTTCCTCTTTTTTTATTTTTTCTATGGTTTGTAACTGGTTGTGGATCTTAACTTTAAGTGATTGTCAAACGATTGTACCTCAGTGGTCATGTCTTGTGGTGAAGGCCATGTTCTGTCCGCTATTTACAAGTTCCCCCTCTACTACTTGCAGAAAAGCACTGGAAGATGCTCAGGGCTAGGCGCGCTATTAGTATATACATTGATGATGAGCAGGTACACCCACACAGTATTCCACACAGATACTTATTGTACTTTGGGCTCATTCGCTTATCTGGGCTGTGGCACGTGCCGCTCTGCGGTTTATGCATCTACGAATAATTGAAGTTTCCTCGAATACTTTTGAAATGCAAATCTGAGTCGAGTTTGGAATTTATGGCCCAAGACCTGAGAGACCTGGTTGCAAATCGCTTGATTCTGTTGTATAATTATTATGAACCACAAAGCCCTGTTCCCTGGATCTATCCGGTTTCCGAGGAAGGGACTGCCACTGCCTGGTACCCTCCAGTCGCTGTCATGCTGATGAGCGATTAGCCCAAGAAGAAAATACATATGAATATTAGTGGGAACCTCCCGGAGAAGCCATTGTGTCTGGAGCTTCCCTCTCATTAGCTTCTCAGTGGCGGAGTTTGTCAGCCATTCGGAATGGGAGTTGTTTTAGTGTGCCAAGAACATTGCCCCAACACCCAATTTTACTAATTCTTGTTCGCCCATTCTACGAACAGAATGTTTGCGAAAGAGGCACCGCATTCAAGTGCACAATTTCAGCTTAAACGCTTTACAAAGCCCAAACTATTTACCTTTCAAAAAGTGACAACTGTGAACCAGTTTTTGTAGTCGGCATTTGAATACACATAGGGCCAAAAAGAGACTATTACAGCCGCTAGGGCACCAAAGTTCAATGTGGGCCAATAAAAACAAGAAAAGTTTGCATACCATTCGTACACACACATGGGTAAACGTCTGTCGAGGCAAATGGAAATGGCTATTGTGGCTCATGCGACGCTTCTCGTTGCGAATAGGGAATAGAATGTGGCCTCGGGCCGCGTAGCGTATATGGCATGGCTAAATTCGTTCACAGCCAGCTGGAGGGTGGAATATTTGACGTGTCACTTGACTTGTTGATGAGTTTTCGGGTTTGGGTCCCAAAGCTGTGGGTTGCGGATTGGCAGCAGAGTTTGGGGAGGGCTACTCAGCGACTCATGGATGTAATTGCCGGAATACCAGTTTGTTCCATTTCACTTAACCCCAATCGACACAGACGAACAACTACATACAAAAGCCACAAAAATTAAATAATTATCTGTATATTATAAAATGTTCGCATATTATTTGTGAGCCCATGCCAAGCTACAGAAAATTACAGTTTTTATGCTTAAATGATGCATGAAGTTGAACAAAAACTAAAAAACAATTTATCCATCTACCACCCACCCGCCTCATGGCCCCACTGACCATTGCCCACTGCTCACTGGCCCCAAAAACTGCAAACAGAATTCGTTTAATTAAAATGCACACCATAAAGCCAGAAGATGGATGATGATTCCCTTCAGGGGAATCCCCTCGCTCGGAAGGAGCTCATTAATGGAGCTGGCGAGTGGAAAAGTTTGTGAGAGATGGGACCACAGAGGTGGAACTGCAAGAAAACAGTTCATATTTTAAAGTCTGATTAAAATCGGAGATTCATTCTAGGGAGTCCTGTAACGTGACCGGAAATTTACGCTTTAATTTTCCTGGAGGGGAGTAGTCCCCTCAAAAAGACGAAAAATAAATTAAAACACGAAAACGTCGCCAGAGGCAGTGCCCGAAAGTCACGTCATGCAATCCCTCCCACAGTCGGGACATGGACACGACATAGGCAGGATGAGAGCAGGATGTAACAAGAGATGACAATTCTAGGAGAGTGGAGTTCGTTGGAGTCCATGTGTGGGAGTTGGAGTGTGGACTGTATTGTGTCTGCTGTCTGGCTTTGTGTGATGCCCGATGCTGCCATGAATGATGACAAACTTGTTGACGACTGCAAATTAGCTTCAAGTGGTCAGGGGCGAGGAGTGGAGTGAAGTGAAAAGCGAAGGGCATTCAATTTGTGGCCAGGACGAAATGGGGAAAAGGGGAACAAGAGTCGAGGAGATTGGCTGGCAGTAATGTTTGTGAAGAGTTGGTCAGGAGGCAGTACTTGCTTTACACTGAGGAAAATCCTCTAAATTTCCAAGCTTTTTCTATATATGATTTCCTATATTCTTTTCCGGATATTAATTCACTTATTTCTCACTCGCAGACGGGTTTAACCCTCACGCCCGAGATGCTGCTCTCCACCTCGGAGTCATCGACGCACAGCGCCTCCGAGGTTGCCGGTCGACTGCAGGTCGACGTGCGGACCGGTCTCAAATGGACAGAGGCCAAGTACCGGGCCAAGATCATTGGCCATAATGAGCTGCTGCTGATCGAGGAGGAGCCCACCTGGAAGAAGTACATCGAGCAGTTTAGGAACCCTCTCATCCTGCTGCTGCTCGGCTCCGCTTTGGTCTCGGTGATCATGAAACAGTTCGACGATGCCGTCAGCATAACCATTGCCATATTAATCGTGGTCACTGTGGCCTTCATACAGGAGTATCGCTCCGAGAAGAGTCTGGAGGAGCTGAAGAAACTGGTGCCCCCCGAGTGTCACTGTCTGCGCGAGGGACGCCTCGACACGTTCCTGGCCCGCGAACTGGTGCCCGGCGATGTGGTGCATCTAAACGTGGGCGACCGTGTGCCCGCCGATGTGCGTCTGTTCGAGGCGGTGGATCTCTCCATAGACGAGAGCAGCTTCACTGGCGAAACAGAGCCAGCCCGGAAGATCACCGACGTCCTGCTGAACAACACGAATGTCAAGGACCACAGCAACATGAAGAACATTGCCTTCATGGGCACACTGGTTAGGTGTGGCAACGGCAAGGGCATCGTGGTCAGCACCGGGGAGCGCAGCGAGTTCGGGGAGGTCTTCAAGATGATGCAGGCAGAGGAGGCCCCAAAAACGCCGCTCCAGAAGTCGATGGACATCCTGGGCGCACAGCTGAGCTTCTACTCGTTCCTCATTATCGGCGTCATCATGCTGCTGGGCTGGCTTCAGGGCAAGCCGCTCTCGGAGATGTTCAACATCAGCGTCTCGCTGGCAGTGGCTGCCATACCCGAAGGCTTGCCCATCGTCGTGACCGTCACGCTGGCTCTGGGCGTTATGCGGATGGCCAAGCGCAACGCGATCGTTAAGAAGCTGCCCACCGTCGAGACCCTGGGCTGTGTAAATGTCATTTGCTCGGACAAGACGGGCACTTTGACCAAGAATGAGATGACGGCCACGATCATCATCACCTCCGACGGCTACATGGCGGACGTGACTGGCGCCGGGTACAACGATCAAGGCGAGATACATATCCGGCACTGCAACAACGTGGAAATGGCCAAGACCAACATCACGAATCTCCTCGAGATAGGAGCTGTCTGCAACAATGCTTATATACAGAATGGCACGCTCCTGGGCCAGCCAACGGAGGGTGCTCTGGTGGCGGTGGCCATGAAGAACGGCATGTACGCCACGGCTGAGAACTACGTCCGCATCCAGGAGTATCCGTTCAGCTCCGAGCAGAAGATGATGGCCGTCAAGTGCATCCACAAGTACAACAACAACAAGGAGGAGTTCTTCTTCGCCAAGGGGGCGCTGGAGACCCTCCTTCCGCAGTGCACCAAGTACCAATTCGGCACGCAGACCGTGCCACTAACCAAGCAGAACGAGGCGGAGTTTCTGGCCGAGGCATACGAGATTGGACGCAAGGGCCTTAGAGTGCTGGCCCTGGCCAAGGGTCGGTCCATGCAGGATCTGATCTACTGTGGCCTGGTGGGCATCACCGATCCACCACGTCCCCTGGTGAGGGAATCCATTGAGCTGCTCATGCAAAGCGGTGTCCGGGTAAAGATGGTTACAGGCGATGCCCAGGAAACGGCCTTGGCCATTGGTGAGTAGATTAATTATGCACATAGTAGTATTAGTATTCTGAAGGGATATTCCTGTCAACATTTCATCTGATACAAGTGGAAACTTAATCTTAAATCATATTCGCTCTCTTGAAAACCCACAAACATCCACTCTCTTGGATGATTACCTTAGCTCAAAACTCAATTATAAACTCTTTAAGCAGACAAAGACACACCGGACTCCTCTTCTGCACCCTTTTCTAGCCACAAATTGTTGGCTTTAACTAAAGTGCTGAGCCGTCCGAAACTATGCAAATAAATTTGTCCATGGCACGTAATTAAAAGTGGCAAGGCTCGCACGGCACAAGCCCTGGTCTGGCTTAGCCGCAAATTATGTATGTTTGCCATGGAGATATTCCACTGCGGATGCATGAACTCTGAACTGGCTGTGCCACAAGTGGGACATGCGAGCGGTATACCTAGCGCCAGACCGAGGCAGAGACCGAGATCGAGACCTCTCCTTTGGCAGCAGAAGTCAAAGAAGTGCTCTTCGGGACCACACAATGAAACGCAACGTCCTGCTGGACAGCCTAAAAGTATGCAAACAGAATTAATTAACCATAGAGCCATTGGTCAGGGGTGGAGAGGAGAGGGGCCTGGGTTGTGGCATCTGGGGAGCAGTTTACAAGTTTTCAAACACAAAACTTGGGCTCAAGGAGTTTTTCTTCCGGCGAAGCCTCTTCTCTTTACTGTACGATGCCGTATGCGTGTGTGTATTTCGAGGACTGCACTTGGCCGTGGAGTTTCCTCAAGTTGGAAACTCTCCAAGTGGAGCTGAAGTTGAGGTTGCGTGAAATTGTTCCCAGTGTGGACTCGAGAGAAACTTACCTATTAATGGAAAATGCATCGGGGAGGCCAGGCCAGGAAACGGAAGGCAGGGCAGGGGAATATAAATTTAAATTCGACAGTGAAGTACCTGCAGAACAGATACAAAAAGCAAGCGCAGTAAATTGGAAAAGATGGCGCTCACAAAGCACAACGGCAGAGACCACGAAAAGCGGCAAGCCGAAAATGGAAGCTGCTCCTGCTCAGGTAACCAGCTCCTTTGGGCCTCCATGCAGCCCCACATCTAATATCCTGAAAAGCACAGCACGAGCATAGACAGAGCAGAAGAGGGCACAGAACAGCACAGCAGCCACATCTACATCGTTGTGAGTCGTAGAAATAATTAACTGTTGCCCCACCTCTCACGAGCCGGAGGGTCCTCATCCCTCTTCTTGTCATCAACATCATCATCGTCCTCATCGTCATCTACATCCTCGTACATCTTTCTCATCAGTGGCGCATCTGCTGCGGACATGATTTCATCATCTGCATGGACTGCGGGACTCGAAGTTCCACTAGATGAAACAACTTTTCTATTCAGTTTGGTGGTTTTGCTCCTTCTGCTCCTTTCTCGTTTTTACATCTTTGTGAAATTTGATTTAAAATATTTAATTTTCAGTTTGCCCTTGCATATTGATTGAACTCCATTCCACTCTCCTTCTATCCTTCTCTCTGTCTGCCCGTCTCTACACTTTGCTTTGTTATTTCAGTCGACAATCCGCTTATGGGCTACCTAATTGGCCGGGATACCACCCATTCGAGGCACCATTCATTCCACGTGCAAGTTGTGCCCGTGCCCCACGGGCTATTGTATATACAGTTGCGCAGCACTTTGGGGTGCCAATTGCATCGGCTAATCCCAGACAATTTGTACGTTTGATGGCGCATGGAAACGAAGATGGATGGACTGCGGAACTGCTGCTGCTGCTGCTGCTTCTGCTGTTGCTGTAGGAAGGCATAATTGAGTCGATGTATTTCATTTTCAATTTGCTAGGCAATGCTTAAGCCAAGAGCTGTGGCTGCTGGTAATTGAGTTTGTGGCTCGTTTAAAGTGGCTCAGGTCCAGGGGACTCTCCTTTCTTGCCACCCCTTGCCAGATCGATTAGAGTTTAATTTGGATTTGATTACTTGAGATGGGAAACAATTGTTGGTCACGTTTCCAGATCAAATCTGCGGCTTACACTTTCCCCATGGCTTCCCTAGGCCTACGGCTCAGCCATCTTAATCAACTCTGTTTGGGGATGTCGATGTCCCTCAAACATGACACACATCCAATTAGCGGAGTGCACTCTCAAATGCACTCCGGAATCCTATGCTAAACTCGGCACAACTGACAATCGGTATCCACCCGGTGCGATTGCGGTGTGTGGGGTTTGGGGCGTGGGGAACGGGAACCTACATCCTCTGCATTTTGATTGCAAGAACGGGAGATAATCATACTCCTAGCGCACTAGAGTACACAGCCGTTTGAAGGGTTGAAGAGTAATAAACAGGGCCAGGCAAGAGCAAGGAGCAGCATCTTGCTATTCGAATAATGCTGTTCCTGAAGCTGAAGCTGCTGCTGTTGCTCCCGACAGCTGCTGATACAAATGCAAATGTCACTCACTGGCAGGCAGGGCACAACTTTCCATTTCCCTCCACTTTTGCCCCACGGCCCTACCCATGTGGAGCCTTCAATTACCAAATGAGACCTTGTAGTTCCCAGCTTTGTTTTGCTTTACTTAGCTTTTTCACTTTTGTTCGCTGCTTTGTTTTTTCCGCCATTGTGCACAATTTAGCTTTGATTTTTCCCCGTTTTGCCATGCTCTTTCTTGCCGGATGGTTTCGGTTTACAAAGTGGCAGCTCAAGTGGTAAGCAAAATTCTTGCTGCACGGTTTTAGGCTCTGCTAGACAGTTTCATAAACTTGGCAGCGCTTTCAGTGCAACAACTTTTGCTTTCATGAGCACACAAGACTCCTTTTCTGTCTAATCCGATTTCGGCTTGCGGTCTGCTTGGTGATGATTTTTATAAGCTGCTGCAAGTTTGGTGTGGTTCCATTTTCGGGGCTCTGTTTATCAGGCCAAAGCAAAGTTTCTCCGAGAATCTTGTTTGCCTCTTCCTTGGGTTTTGCCGAGTAGTTTCCAGACTTTTTTATTACTAACTTTTTTGTTGGGTCTTAGCGACAGCTGTTCGTTTACTCTGGGAAGAGAACTCTGGTCCCCAAAAAATAAATATATTTCGAGACTAATGATCTTTTAAATCATTTTTAATGACCAGTTATAGACGAGTGTGTACTCTCCCAATGAAGGAAGTTTCGTTGCCAAATCAGTATTTTTTATTATTTCTGAACACCTTCGAATCCATTCATCTGGAAGAGCCAAGAACCTTTCCACCTGTTGGGAGAGTAACAGCTATCAAATGCCACCCACTGCGCGTCCGTCCGTCGCATCCACTGCGCGTGTCAAAGTCAATGCGGGAAGAGAATTGTTCAATCAGCATGCAATGTTGATGCTGCTGCAGAGAGGTGGGGTAAGGGAGAAAAACTCTGTAAAAGCAGTAAAAAACACGAGTTGCAATTATGCCGTTTGTTTCATTTTTAGACCCATTATTCCAAAAGGCAGCAGGGGTATATTGTGTCAGAGAAAATGCATGTGTAAACAGATTTACAGATTTACAGAAAAATGCAATTAATTAATATTGCATTTAAAAATACAGTTTAAATGCAATTTAAACGTACATATGTGTGTATGTATATTTTTATTATATATATTTTTATAATACATTTGTATTCGTGCCCACCGCTTGATTTAAAACTACGCTTGTATTTGATTAAACATACATTAGCACATTATCCATTCATCTAAACAAATTCTTCAAAGTATCAGTTTATAACTCAAACTGAGGGAGTCGCTTGAATATTTTGGATCAGCGGTGGGCACATCATTGGTCCCAACTGCTACCATTGCTCCGAGATTTATTCTTCGACTGCCGACGGATATGGGCTTATTTTTGTTGTTGTTTTGTTTATTGGTCCAAATTGAACGGATAAGTAGAGGGTATCTCATGGTGAGGACATGCATGCAGTTCTCTTGTTTTATTTATGTTTTTATCGCTTCTGCAAACTGCGAGAATGGCGACAAATCGAATTGTTTTTGCATTGCTTATGAAGGTTTTCTGGCATGCCGGACGAGCGGCTGTCATCAGCAGAAATTGAAACTAAAATCGAAATCGCAGTTTTCCCCTGCGTAGACAGGTCAGTATGATGGATGATATCCTTGTAGCATGCTGATAGCGGCCTGAACCCTCCCTCTCTTGTCTCTATGGTTTTTTCGCGTGAAAATTAAAATCAGATGATTAGTTTTTGCGGTCAATGGCGGACAGATACGGAGGTTGAAGGCGGAATTCCTGTATGGTGCCTGACTGATGATGAATTTTAAAATAAAATTGAAACCGAAAAACATGTGAATCTCTGACACACTGAGGAGCGATCTCTGAGTATCTCCGTTTCATTTTGGCCACGCAGAGAATCATAACCGAGAACCACAAAACTGCAGCTTGGCCAAGATAATGGCCCTCATTGAAGTTTGCATTCATTTTAATTTTGCGCCAAGGCGACCGCCGTCTAGCGTCTATCGTCTGGGCCATTAAGCCAGCAGACCAAGCCAAAATAGAGCAGCAAAGCAAAAGAAAAATTAAACTGAAACATTCCCATGGAGATCTCCGGGAGAGAGATAGAGATGCCGCTGCTGCTGGCCACCTCTGTCATTTCCTGCAGCAGGAAGCCGAGACGCAGGATACTCGGATGGCGAAGGAGATGGCGATGCAGCCTTTAATTGTCTGAGAGCTGAAAGAGCACCCAGACGAGAAGAAGGAGCATAGGTAGAGACAGCAAGAGAAGCAGGAGATGATGGGCAGCAGCGTTCTGAATGCGTTTTAATTACGTTTTGCTGTTGCTCATTTCGCCGCGCATCTCTCCATTGTTCCGTCCCGTGGCTGTTGTTCCTGCTGTTTGTTATAATATACTTCAGCGCACTCTAGCTAAAAATGTTATACAAACAGAGCCCACGGATGGAGTAGGATGGTTGGCAGGATGGCAGATGACAGAGTCAGTCCCCCCGCCACGAGGAAACACAAATTCGAGGGCGCCATAATGAAAAATGGCGTCGCAGCTCTATGGAAAAGTGTACCCTCTGTGTCTCCGCCAGCTGCCGCGATTCCTCTTTTGCGAACTTCATAAATGCGCTCAAGTACACAAACAACGAGAAGGGACGTTTGAGGCGCTTCGTACGCGTCACAACTTTTTACCTTTATTTGTCAAATTTTACATATTTTCTTCATCTGTCATCTATATCTACAACACTTCTCACACCAAAACGCTCCTTTAGCTCGCCCCCTTCCTTAGACCCACACACTGCAAACTCGCTGCAGAGGCAGAGGCCTCTGACTACATGAAGCTGAGTGTGAAAGAGAATGTGAAAAAAAACAACAAAAGCTGCGGGACGGTTTAGCCACTGCAAATTGATTTCTTCATTATGGCTGTAATAATGATCCAATCGGATCCCAATTTGGTGATCTAATAGATATGGGCATTCCCTACGGAATGGCGTTTTTAGTTTTCTTGTATCCTCAAAACTGTAGGTTTGGAAGGTTTTCGCCCTTTTGCGGGGGCGGAAGAGGGCGCGGCTCATTTTTGAAATACACTTGTGTGTGAGCATACAGAAGTCGGGATGCAACATTTGGTGGCTCTAGCTCTTATAGTCTCTGAGTACCATGCGCTCATCAGGAGGGACAGACAGACATGGCTCAATCGACTCGGCTATTGAAGCTGATCAAGAATATATATTTTTTATGGGGTCGGAAACGTTTCCTTTTGTGTGTTACATACTTTTTACACAAATACAATATACCCTATTTACTCTTCGAGTACCGGGTATATAAAAACAAAATCGAGAAATGGGAAATGGGGAAACGATGCCTGAGGCGAGGCATTGGGAGCCATTCCCTCTGGAGTTTTTCAAGTTTATTGCTTGGCTTACAATTAAATTTTCCAAGAGGGAACCTGCCTGCCAACAGCCAACACACCCGACAAATGAACAATTGTTTTTGCATTGGCTCCACGGATTACAGCCAAAGTCGACGGCATCAAGCTGTGTGCCGGCACACACGCGCCAAGAGGCAGCTCCACTTGCCTGTTGCTTTGCACAGTTCATCGCCAATTGCTTGGAAAATGCAATGAAAGACGATTTACTCGACTGCCCTGAAACAACAGAGCAAGCGGAGCAACCCTGGTGCCATAGCAGGTGAGGGATTACAAGGGCTTAGAAGTGGACTCAAGGATGAGGGAGTAATTGCCAAGATAGAAGGTCCCACACCATGCAATTAAATGTACTATACATCCAGGCAGCTGCAACCTGTAATCGCATACAGAGCCCACACGAGTATTTCTTAGCGTCTTTTCTTTTTTTATTTGCAGCCAACCTCATAGGCATCGACACCATCCACCACCAGACGCTGTCCGGACAGGAGATGGATCAGCTGAACGAACACCAGCTGGACAAAGTGGCCAACAATGTGAGCGTCTTCTACCGTGTCTCGCCGCGCCACAAGCTGGAGATAGTCAAGTCGCTGCAGCGCACCGGGAACATTGTGGGCATGACTGGCGACGGTGTGAACGACGGCGTGGCCCTAAAGAAGGCAGACATTGGCATTGCCATGGGCAAGAATGGCACGGATGTGTGCAAGGAGGCGGCCGATATGATACTTGTCAACGACGATTTCCACACCATCATGTGAGTAGATGCTGCAGCCATTGTAGCAGTCAGCTTCTAACCGATTTTTCTTTCATTTTCCATGCAGAGCTGCCATCGAAGAGGGCAAGGGCATCTTCTACAACATTCGGAACTTTGTGCGCTTTCAGCTGAGCACCTCAATCGCTGCCCTGGCTTTGATCGCTCTGGCCACGCTGATGGACATTGCCAATCCGTTGAATGCCATGCAGATTCTGTGGATCAACATTATAATGGACGGACCGCCCGCTCAGTCGCTGGGCGTAGAGCCCGTGGACCACGACGTTCTGAAGCAGAAGCCGCGGAACGTGAAGCAGCCGATGATCACCAAGTCGGTGGTGGCGAATGTGCTGCTGAGTGCCAGCATCATAGTGCTGGGTACGCTGTGGGTGTTCCAGCGTGAAATGGCCGACGGGACTTTGGGGAAGACCAAGCGGGACACGACCATGACCTTCACGTGCTTCGTATTCTTTGACATGTTCAACGCCCTGTCGTGCCGATCGCAGACAAAGAGCGTGTTCACCATCGGCCTGACTACCAACCGCATGTTCCTGCTGGCCGTGGCCTTCTCGATCATTGGCCAAATGCTGGTCGTGTACTTTCCACCGCTGCAGATGGTCTTCCAAACGGAGGCCCTGACGCCCTACGACATACTCTTTCTGGTCTCGCTCACCTCCTCCGTGCTAATCGTCTCTGAGATCAAGAAATGGTTCGAGCGTACCATGGAGCGCAAGATGTACAGCACCCGCTCCGAGCTGGACTTCGTATGACAAAACGCAAGCGCTAGAGACGAGTTGCACCCGAAAGCCGAGTAAATTAAATAACAAAAAAAAATTACAAAAAAAGAGCAAAACTATGCCAAAACCAAGTGAGGAGCGTGGTGGACTGGACCGAGGAGCAGCAGCAGGAGAAAGGCACGAGAGAAGCACGAGAGCAGCGAAGTGTGTGTTTAGTTTTACATTTGACTCGACTCGAAAGTTAGCCTATGTTTAGTCAGCAAAGCAAAGTTGGGCGAATGAGCCCCATTCCGGATTCATAGAGTTTCCCATATTTCATATATAAATATATTCGACGTAAGCCTCAAGGTTTCGCGTTAGCTCTATGTAAGTTTTGCATAGATTCTACTACCCCTATTTTACTTTGTTCAGATTTATTGTCTTATTTTATTGTATCGTATTATATTTAGTTCTTAAGTAGACAATTTGTAGAGCTATTTTAGTTTTTTCGCTTCGCGAATTTTGTTCATGGATGTCCAAGTATTTGAAAAAGCCAAACGTCTCTAAAACTCTTTTTAATTTCTCAGCGTACATCGCAACCCATTGGCTCCAGCAGACCTCAGGCCAAGCTAAATTTTCTCATACTTGCCATCCATTTTCATTAAAGCTCCATGTGCTGCTCTAGTTTAAGCTCCTAAGCTGGCGAATCAAGTCATTTCAAAGTGTTTGTTTGATACGAGTAATTCGGTGAAACATTTTTAATGTGATATTATTTTAAGCTCATAGACAACAGCAGCCGGCAAGAGAGCGGATCGCAAATTTAAGTTTTCTTTTAAGTTGGTTTGCTTCTCGGCTCGTGGCCAAATAGTTTCATTTTTACAAAAATAAAAGCAAACTGCAGCAAATCCTCAAGAGATTCTCTGTTCTATAATAACCGACCTGGTCTCTATCCCACAGCCACAGCGAGCCAAGAACGAGAGAAATTCAGCCGAGCAATCGTTTAAGTGTATCAGATCACTCCAACAGATGTAGATGCAATCCACAACCTACTTAATATCCATCCCCTATCCGATTAAAATGTAAAATAAATGTGCAGGAGTCGCAGGAGGCCATAAATAAGACAAGGACGGATCCCAGGCGCAGTGGAGTAAAGAAAATGGTTTTTAGTAATTTTGTTATCTAATTTATTCGGTGTTTGAGAAAACGAGCAACAAATTTGTGTACAACAACAGCAAAACGAGTCTCTGGCGCGCTAGCAGCCAAAACAATTTAATCAGCGATTCCAGCCCCCGATCACCATCGAAGGGAGACTGGGGATTGCCAAAACATATACTACACGTACATAAAACAATGATTTTGCATATTACATACGTGTGAGAATATTTGAATCATTTGAATTTGAGAGTCCAAGGTAGACCAAATTTGTTTTATAGATTGCCACTAAACGCAAGCAAATGAAACAAAATAATGCACAGAACAATGAGCAGAATGTGAAGCAAGGCAAAGCCAATTCCTCTCATAGCAGCACCAGAATACTGGAAAGTAACGTATTTATTCAAATATATTCAGATATACTCGTATATTAAATTCAAAAGGTATTCGTAGCAAGTAACCCAATGTACTTACGACCCTTCAGTATCGTACATTGTTTCGTACAAGTTGAACATAACATTGAACAGAAAAGCAATAAGGGAAACAATATGAGAAGTCATAAAAGATCTGCCCCCTCAAATAGACAGTTTCAATGAGAAAATCAAAAAAAGAAAACCAAAATAATAGTCAATTAATACATTTTGAAACCGTATTAAGAGAATATACATACATATATATTGAAGTGAATTTGTAGACAGAAGATCTAAAAGTAATAGTAACTAGAACGTGTAATCTCACTTTTATTGTTGAATTCTCCCAATATCATCGACATTCGATTCATATCATCACCAACTCAGAAGACCCATGACCTCTCGCTTGAGCGAATACTCATCTTTCTAACGATCTGATCTCTCTCTCATTAGAGAGTGAAGATTTCACAGCTTCGCCGATGCATATCACATTTGCACCTAGAACGCAAAGCTTACTCACTGGCAATGGGCTTGGATTGTCTTTGATCCTTGCGGCTCAACTCTGAAAGCTACTTTAGCACTTTTCGTTTTAGGGAAACCAAAGTATTTTTCACTCGTGCTTATAGTGCAATGAGTTAATAAGTTAATGGACCAAGAAAGAAATTATTTACAACAATTGTATCACACACTTCAATATCAGGCTTAAGCTCTCATGATCCACAACGACACAGGCGCACGCTCATATATCAGGCAAGAAAAAACCGAAAAAAAAAGAAAATAATAAAAAAATACAAAAAAAAACAAAAAAAAAAAGAAGTAAAATCTACGATGAAAAATCTTAAAAAGGAAAGAAAATAAAGCGTTTTACAAGGCATTCCTAGAAACAAGCAAAGGCTCATTGTCATAACCCACGCATGAATGCATACCACACATAAACATAAGGTAAACAGGACACGCCCACACACACATGCACACACACTCGCCCACATCTCATCCACAATGGTAACAATAATTAGTAAATTAAGTATATTTGATTAACTAAAGACAGCAACGCGATCACAGCATGCATGACTGTCTGAATAATAAAATAATATGAATACGAATACGATTAAATAGTCCAAACAGGTATCAAGATAATCTCTCTTATGGAAATTAAACCAAAATTATACGAGTATGGATTAGCAAAGATCGTGAATTAGCAGTGGTTGTGGTTTTGCTGGACTATGCTAGAAACAATAATTTATAACGATCGATATTGTCATTACATGTGTATGTATGTATGGACACATGTAAGCACTAATATGTGGTTTTATGTTTAACCACTGAGCGATAAGATGTCATTTGCGCATGTGTAAGCCACCTATTCTATGTGTACGTCTGCGTAAATGTTTAACCGTGCTGGCTGATCTATCGAGCAGTTCATGTGCTATCAAGTCTCAATCTGTTTCCCACGTTTTTCGATCTATTTTAGTCTTTAGTTGGTTCGGCTAGACGGAATGTATAAACTGCTGGAGTGCGAAAAGATTCTCGAATGATTTACTTGATCCAGGCTGAACCTAATAGAAATTAAACTATAACTAACTGTGCTATTAAATGTAAGCGTAAAGAATATAAACATAGACGAATACCAAGCATAGGGCAGACATATATATTTCAGAAATATATGCTACTTCTTCTCACCCACACTAAAACCACACCCGCCCCAGCCCTGGTCAGGTTTATGCTTTATCTCTATATTTATCTTTCTATCCCTATCCTCTCGATGCAACTGAGGCCAGCTCTATACCATTTAAAAGTCAACTAAAGAATTTACATACCCGTAATTTATTTCAATATTTAGTTAAGCGAATACGAGTAGCATTGCGATCTGAAGAATCTTAACAATACTAAATAAAATATACATACAACTAACTGTACTAATAATATATTTAATATTTATCTGCGCGAGAAATATTTACTAAATAAAATAAACTTTATGTAGTACATACAATACCAAACGCGGCGGTGGCCTCTTTGATCTAATATAAATTCGTATCTCGGGGAACCTTCGCATTTGTCGCAGGCTACCAGAACTCCAGAAGAAACCATAGGAGGTAAAGATGAGAAGTTTTCGAAGAGGAGTCTTTGCGACCCGGAAACCCTTCCAGGGTCAAGCTTTTGTGCAAGAAGAGAGCGGCTTGCAGAATTGAATGCCATACTGAAATCAGTGTAAATAACATTCCTCTGCAAACTTACCTTGGTTGTTGATTGTCGCCGTATAAATCTGTACTGAGCTGGAGATATAAGTGATTTGCAGAGATGTTTCTGTTTAGGGTCTTGTAAAAAAGTATTTTGCACCGAAGTAGGTAGTTCCTATAGCATTGAGCAATGAGAACAGCGAAATTTCACCGAGCTATTAAGTAACTGAAAAAATTAGAAGGAGAACCAACTCCTTAAAATTTGTAAGGAGTCTTGATTTTAGGTTATTTACACTGGATAACTCTTTGGTGAAAAAAGGAGGCTTCCCAGATCTAATCGGGGAAGAGAGAGTGGGACACACAAATGAAAAATTGTGTCAAGTACATTGTAAACGAGAAGGGGCGTGTGAGACGCTTCTTACGCGTCACAACTTTTATACCCGGTACTCTACACTTTAATAATATAATAACTTCTTAATCACTGCCACATAAGGCAGAGTGTGAGAGCGAGAAAGAATGAGCAAAAATAAACAAGCACAAGCAAAGCTGCAGGAAGGTGTGGGGGTAGCTACTGTAAACTAATTTCTTCATTCTGGCTATAATAAAGATCCAATCTGATCCCAATTCATTGATCTGATAGATATGGCCATTCCCTACGAAATGGCTTTTCTAGTTTTCTCTTATCTTCAAAATTGTGCACACAGCAGATTTTCGCCCTTTGTCGTGGCGAAGGGGGCGTGTGAGCATACAGTAGTCTGGATGCAAAACTTGGTTGCCCTATCTCTTATGGTGTCTGAGTACTACCTGAGAAACACCTGCAAAGAATTCCGATTACACTTTTCGCACTAGTACATCAATAAGTTAAATAAATTAAATATGTACGACATACGTACACATGTACATATGTACATATGCCATCCGCAACATCAACTGAATTTTGAAATCGACTGGTTTATTTTAATAAAATGAAATGTGTACATAAATCTTTTAAATGTGAACACACACTTTAAGTGAAGTCCATAAACGTTTTATTACGGAAGATTGCATATACAGTATATATACTATGTACCTTTCTGCCTTTCGGCCTTTCTGTTTTCTTCTGCCTTTTCCACGTTCACTCACCCAAGCAGTGCATTATTAAGTCAAATCCTGGACAAGAAATTCTGTTTAAGCTCGAAAAAACTGCTTGCTTTCAGTACTGTAAAATGGTACAAGAGGTATCGTGGCAGAGCAGGCAGCCTTCGACTGGCACTTCAAAATAAACGGTTTGGAGAAGTTCATAGCTGTTAACTTCCGACAGAGGTACATAGATGGCGCTTATGTTAACGCTTTTGAAAACGGTTCGGTTTGAAAACACAGTTCTTTAACAGCGCGTAGATAAAAAATGAGTTGTATGAAATCAAGATAGGGAAATGTATGACAAAAAAGCTCAAATCCAAATAAATACGTTAAAATAGGAGCGGAAACAGTGGTGAGCACTCTGTTATTAAATTTGTTATAAAACTAATCAATTAAATAAATAAATTTGTAATTTCCATACCAAAATATGTACCAGAGTGCTCCAGACAATGCAGTGAAGTTCCACCAAAGAAAATATAAGCATTCTAATATTGTCTTCTAATTCCACCTTGCTTCCCGCATTCACGAAGCGTTGTGTTGCGAGCTTCTGTGGTACTGATAAATGGGATTTCGGTGGGAGCAGCTAAGCTAAGCAGCTTGAAATCCTGCTAAGCTAGTTCACTGATTTGCTGATCGACTGAGGGATTACTCATTCGTTGCACTTACTTATCACAAATAGCTTCAGCTTGGCGCTCATTTTGGGCTCCATTAGGTACCAAATCCATTAGGTATCCGTTGACTCGCGTGCCAATGCGGTCTCCGTCCAGCAGTTGTTTATATTTAAAAATTATTAAATTACAAATTTTTCAGTTTTTAATTTTTATTCCACGTTATTGTGTTTACCGAAACCGGACATTCTTAGTTCCGAAGTTTTTCACGTCTCGACGTGAATGATGGGTTCCGAATGCAATGGACTCTCACTTCACGTCAGAGCATTTCACAGTCCAGTTTTCACAAGACTTGGATTTGCTAAACGCGCAGCGCGTCATGCGGCAGCGCACCTCGGCCGGTTTCTGGGCTCCGCAAGTAACAGGCTTCGACTTGGTGTCGCATGGGCCACTTGATGGTGCAGTCATTGCATATTAACGATCAACGAAAAAATTAAGTTTAGAAAGTACGCAGCAATGGCTTAAGAGTTTACATTTGACTCGAATGTTCATATTGACTTGAACGTCCGGATTCGCCCTCTTTGTCGTCCATTTGGCCACTCAGCGCCTCATTGAGAATCTCGCTCCTCACAGTAACACGAATACTATATGATGGCTTATAAAAAAAGTTATATTAAATAAAAAAACGGTAATAAAATAATTTCTTAGCTCTACGACTGATAGTATAACTGAATTTCAGAGGGTTTTGGTGGTGAAACTTTTCATTATCATGATATAATGTTCTTCCCTGCTTCAGTTCAGCTGCATCCCAAAATTTTATCAAGTTGCAAAATTGTCTGCTCCTAAACAATTACTTTTCTCAGAAAAGTCGGATATGCAAGGGTCTAGTCTTACATCCTTTTCTGTGATAATGCCTGTCCATGGTCTGGACACTCTCTGATTTGTTTGATGTGCCCAGAACATTGAGAAAAGAAATCATACAGGGGGTTCGGTTAAGATGTATATTTTAGGGGAACAGATTAAATTGCACTTGCTAATACAACTATTGACTTTAAATTACATTTAATAACAATTGTCCGGTTTAAAACTATTTACAAACATAAGGTGCACATTGACCGTTTACCTTTCGGGTGTTCTACATATCGTACATATACTTACATACATACAAATGTATTTATGTAGTAATGCAATAACGCGACTGCTTTCACATCCTCAAGACCTGCAACAAAACGTGCTGCCGCCTCCTCTCGCTGTGGTGTGTTACAGACAGAGACCGCGAGAACCTTAAAATTTCATTTAGCTTAAAAAATCACATTTCATTTATCTTGTTCTACAACTCGAACCTAATGCCGCAGCTGCCAGCCGTCTGTCTCCGAAATGCCTGCTATGTGCTCTTTATAAACTAACGGCTGCACTTCTGTGTGGCTGTGGGTGGCTGTGACCTTGGCCATGGGGCTTAAGGGAGGGGCGTACCACACTGCCGAGCAATTGGAGCCTATAACACTAACGCTAATAAATTCGTACGACGGCGAATCCTCGCCACGTTGTTTTTTTGTAGCTGCCTTCACTGATACGCGTGCCTAATGCTCCGAGCTGAAGTACGAGTTCTGCATGAGATATAGCTTGTCGATCGGGTTAATCAGGCTGGTGTTCAGGTTGGCCAACATGTCGTGGGGATTCGAGTGCGAGTGCTGGTTGCCGGATGAGCTGGTGGACTGCAGCTCCAGGTTGTTCAGCGACAGCGAATCTGTGTCGTCGTCCAACTGGTCAAAATTGCTGCCGTCCAGCGACAGGTCCGAGCTGCAAAAGCTGTCGTTCGAGTTTGCCGGGTAATCTGTGAAAGGAATAAAGGCTCTAAATCTGATGTTTAGTCTGGAGGTAAGTTCGGCTTACCGTCCGGAGAGAAGGGCAAGTTGGGATTCAGTGGCTGGCTGGCAAAGGCGTTGTCCAGACCCCCCAGATAGCCCGAGCTATCGCCGCCCATCTCCTGCTTGACACACTTGTCCTCCTTCTCATTGGGCTCCTTGTCATCGGCAGCGCTAGAGTTGCCTGTGCCACGGCCGCCTCCAGATCCGCCCGAGCTGCCACCATTCTGCTTGGCCTTGCGCTGTATCTTCTTCATTTTGGCTCGCTGGTTCTGAAACCACACCTGAACCACTCGCACCGATAGTCCGGTGTCTTTGGCAAGGGCCTCGCGCACCTTGCGGCAGGGCTTGGGCGACTGATCGAAGGAGGCCTTGAACTGCTTCCGCTGCTGCGAAGTGAGAATGGTGCGTGGTCGCTTCGGACCCCGCCGTCCGTCCCGTGGCCGCAGCAGATCCTCCTCGTCCAGTCCCACGAAGCCGCAGTGCTGGGCAGCTGCCGCGGCCAGAAACATCTCCTTTTCCAGGTCGTGGCGGTAGCAGAACAGCTGGCCATCGCGCAGCATGAACTGCTCGCCCTTCTGAAGGGGCAGTCGGCAGGCGTAGCAGACGAAGCAGGGCAGGTGGAAGACGAAGTTGGGGATGGGCCGCATCACCAGCTCCTGCGGCAGGATCGCATGGCAGCAGGAGGCGCACTTGACACCGAACAAGCGGTCGTAGTCCATCTTGCAGTATAGCTTGGAGTTACGCACGTAGCAGGTGTTGTGGAGCTGCATGCCGCAGTAGCAGCAGGCCAGGCACTGCTCGTGCCAGTTGGCCTCGCCCACATTCATCAGATAGCGGTCGTGGATCTTCTGGCCACAGCCCTCGCACAGCTCGAAGTTCTTCTCGCATTTGATGTGGCCCACTTCTGCGAAGAAGCAGAGAGAAAGACGTTAGTGAGTTATAAAATCGATTTGCGTAATCCGCATCTAGCCTCTCCCTATTGGCGTGCGTGGCGTACGAGTATACGTGATGGCAGCACATGTTGCTGCAAAATTATCATGACATGTGCTGCCACAGCACAGCAGAGCACAGCGCTAGGAGCAGCGTCAGGGAGGATGGCAGCATCAGGGACGATGCCGCTGACAATCAAATCGTGTGAAAATGTCTCAGCTCCCTTGTTTTTCTCCTCATTGTTTCGCACTTGGCCTCCAACAGACAGCACCTCTCCTCTCCTCAAAGTGAATCTGGCAATCGTGGGAGGTGTCGGAAGAGACGGCAGAGAGGCAAGCAGAAAGTATCTGTCACCGGGCTGCAACAGCTTGTATTGAAAGGTTGCTGATGCGTAATTGAAACGTAAAGTTTTTCTGCATTGGTGCGAGCTTCAATGATAGGTCCCCAATTATCTGTATACGCCCTCACAATGACTAAATTGGTTCACAATTTTTATTCAATGCGCAACACATACATACATTTAAGAACTGTATTCCTTTTATGTGTTTATGTACATAATTCCCTTATGATTCCTCACCCTGTTCGCCTCGTCTTTCTAACCCACCCACACACTGAGGCAGAACGCGACTAATCTCCATCCATCCCCTTCCCTAGAGCGCGTCGCTCTTGAAACTGTAAACCAGTCATAAAAAGCAGTACCCGAAAACACAGCAAAAGCTGCCTGCAGTAAACATACAAAATATATATGACGACCGCCACGAAAAATGTATGGAGGCATCTGAAAAATGAGCAGCCAGCCAGTCAGAGGGATGGAGGAGTAGAGTGGAGAGTGCTGCTATATTATATGGCTGTGGCTCAGTGGCAGAAAAATGTGCATGATTTATGGTTGGTACAATGGTGGACCCCACACCAGCCATATCTACGATATGTACGTGGTACATGTATGTATATCTATGCAGATATGAGTGTTTTGCTGTGCGTCGGCAGGGGTAAAGCTCGTTTTTATGGGCAAAAACGCTTCCAGAGCTAAGCCAGTGCAGCGTGAAGTGGGCAAAGCACGCCCCAAAGACCATCCGCACCCTGTAACCCTGTAGCCCTCTATTGTGCATTGTGCATACATGAGACCCAATCGCATTGTCGATAACGTATTTTTCAGCTCGAAAAAAGAGAACTACTCTCGGATGCTATAGATGATTCATTGATAAAGCCAGCCCCAGGATGGGGCCATTTTTTTAGAGCTCGGATTTGTGCGGGTCCTCGGCTTTGGCTTTGGCTTTGGTGATGCGATATTGGGTCATGTCGTGCTCTGTCCATTGACGTTTCGTTTGTTTGTAATCTAATCGAGATTTATGGCATTTGCTGCCATTCTTTGATTGTCCTTTTTCAATTTGACTCGATCCTTGCTTTGTTTCAACAATCAAAGGGTTGACTCAAAGGGCCTATTCAAATCAGGGCTTCAGTCAAGAATGTATAACACAGCATGGGTTGAGCTGGGCTGCCAAAACTAGTTGGAAAAGTCAACAGCCAAAGAGGGAAACAGGCAAACAGGCTAGAAACGCAAACAGTGAAAACAAGTGCGGCACACTCATGTCAAATACATAGATTAAACAGCAGATAAATCCAAAAGCAATGCGGCGATGAACGGGAAATATAACCAGCTAATAGACAACAGCGTCGAAAGTGTCCTCGTTCTTATCGGCTATCGGCGATATCAGAGTGCTTATCGATCCCCTCCTCCGCAATGGGGCACTATATGGTGCATTTATTGACACACTGACAGGCAAGCGGAGGTCTATGGAGATAAATTGGGCACCCGGAGCCTCATTTGGGGCGCTTACTACGGCCGAGTCTACGTGCAACGGAGATTTTTGGCAGCTCGACTGGATAGACAGCTCTGACAGCTTTAATTATTGCCACTGGCAGCAATTTAAAGCCCATGCTATACCAGCTGGATCTCAAAACGAAAGTGACATGGAGTTATGCATATGGCGCATATTTCCGCTTCTCCTCACACAAAGCTCTCACCAAAACCTAGAGACAGAGATAGGGATGGAGCCAGAGGCAGAGACGGAGGCGGAGGCAGGGACAGGCAGGAGCAAGTAGAAGCCACCGCAGAAGCCAGATATGTTTGCTGATACGCTCGGTGAAATACCTGACACTGAGTGTGCTCATTTCCGTGGTCTGCCTGCCACTGAGTTTGCCACCCGGCTGCAGCCATTTGGGATTGCCCATGCCCCGTGCACCGCACCGACATTCCGAAACTCCTCCTGGTCTGATAGTTGAATTCTGACTTTCAGACTCCGGTATACTCACACACACACACGCAAAATAGTGCCGTAGTGTGGGTCGGGTCTCCGAAGCAGCTAAGTGATTGCCAACCTGAAAAGGCTGGCAGGACAGGGAGGCCGGGTGGCCAGGAGGCAGTATTCGAGAACGGTTGTGGAGGATGAACCGAAAACTATTTGCTGCCATTTGCCAAATGCAAACATTAATAGAAATTTCATAGGCAAATCTCAAGTTTGTCGGCAAAAGCGCAGCCAAACTCACTCCTACCAGAGCCTTCAGCTGAGGTGTGCAGCAGGGGCGGAGTCTCTCCAAAGTCGTGTGATGCTAAAAAACCCAAACACCATCATCATCCAATCCACTTTGGCTCGGACGAGGTCTGCATATGCATCACACATTGTTTGCACACTTTGCATTTCGGGCGGAATTGCGCAAAAGTTTTCCCAGCAACACTTTCGATGCAGCTAAGCTTAAAAGTGTTGCCTACTTTGGGGCAAGTCTCTGCGTGTGTGCATGTGTGTGGAGGATGCATGCCAGCATATGTGTGTGTGGGTGTGTTTGTGCAAGAGTGCCAGTGTGTGGCATGCCTTAATAGCCTTTTATTGGTTTCCACCGCGCCCCTTCGGACGAGCAGTGTCAGCCAGGTTCATTGTCAGAATTATTTTGTGGTCAATTTGCGTTCATACTTTTGGAAATACTTTCGGCCCGCCACCACTCTGGCATGTCCCTACCATCATAAATTCATAATTCATTGGATGGCACTGCCGCAACTCGCTTTGATAGCAAATTTGAATTTATTGTGACGTTTATTTGCACATCCAGCCAAAGTGCAAACAAATTGAATTCAATGGCAGATCTCGCTCATAGCGAATCATCCATCCATACCCGTGTGACTGCCTCACTACAGTTGCAATTAGTTGTAAAATAAATAGTATTACTTTAGCCCGAGGGCATAGCAAACTATAGAAAATGTTCGCTTTAAATAATTCGTTTATATATATATTATTATATACATATTTATTTAATATATATTTATTTATGAAGTCTTTACCTTCATAGGGAAAAGCAGACTATAATTTTCGAATATACTCCCTCTAACTAACAACAATTATTAGTTATAGCTTCATTGTTTATTTATTAATTCTGCAACTAAATTCAAGCATGGGTGAAAGCCCTTTGCATTCAACTGGTTTTAAACATCAATTAAAGTCAATTTTCTCAGATATTCCACCGAGTCCTCATGAAAATTATAAGGGAAATTGACACACAAATACCTTTAGACCCAAAAACCCAGGACATCTCACGCAAACGCCAAACACAATCTGGTTAGGGGGCCCTGCACAATCCTGATTCTCGGGAAGGTGAGTGGCAGCACCAGAGGGCCGTGCCACGCACTTCCGGCGCAGAGAAAGGTGCCTCGCTTACCTTGCCCAAGAACTCCACTCCGGCCCGCAGGCCGGGCACACGCAACTATGCCAAAAACGAAAAGCGTGAAAACCCCAGAATCGGAACGAGCCGGAAAATGCCTCGACTACCGGTGCAAAATACTTTTGGAACATACCTGTGCGTCCACTACAATCGGCAGACAATTTCGATGCTGCCGCCGGCGCTAACGCCGTTGACGCTCCTCCTGCGGATGCCAGTCCCGATGCCGTCGTCGAGGTCGCAGACGCAGCAGCAGAAACAGCAGAAGCAGACGTGGCTGCTCCGCCTAATGACGAGGAGGCGACTGAGGGAGCTGTTGCTGGTGGCGCTGCCGCAGAAGAAGCAGAAGCAGCAGCAGCAGCAGCTGTTAATGTGTTGCAGGCGGAGTTGTTGCTGTTGTTGGGGCTGTGTCCTGTGGGCGTAGGGCAGCTGTTAATTGGCACTGGCGTCGTCGAGGCTGCGTGTTGCTGTTGGTGTGGATGCTGCTGATGGTGGGGATGGTGTGGGTGTTGCTGTTGCTGATGTTGTTGGTGTTGGTGCTGTGCGGAAATTACGGGGCCCGTTAATGAAGCCGTTGCTGTCGGGCTGTTGTTGCCGGAAATGCTTGTTGGCAAATTGTTGTTGCTAATGTGTACATTGTTGTTATTGTTGTTGTTGTTGTTGTTAATACTCGTGTTGCTGCTTCCGGCCAGACAGGCGGCTGTGGCACTGGTCATGACACTGGGATTCGGACTGTCCAGGAACCGCGCGCCACCGTGATTCTGTTGTAACGAGTACAGGCCGCCACCGACTGGATTCAGATTCGTGGGCATTGGATAGAACTCCAACATCTTATTGACGCCAGCTGACGAATTTACAGTTCGAGTCTCTTGGACAAAAAAATCGCGACCACATACACGTGCACCGACACATAAACACGTAAGCACGTAAGCGTACACTGTTCTCCGTACTCGTACACACCGTACACTTGAAAAGATGTGAAATTTGGTCTCGAAATCTCGAGGAACTTTGGACTGACTAACTCTCGGATATTGAGGTTCCGCTGCAGAGCGAGGAGGCACAACCAGCTGCGTTCGCTGTCAGATTGCGTGTGATCGAACAATCAGCGGAATCAAAGCATTTCACTTTGCCCTTCGCTGCTGCGTCGGCAGTGCCAAAAGTCCCATTCTGAAATGTACCCCACACATACATATACGACGAGCTAGCACTCACTCACCTCACCCTCTCAGCGCTCGCTCTCAGCGGAGATGATGTCGATGTCACTCCACTCTGCGCCTGCGCCTGTTTACAAAAGCAACAGAGCAACAACTGCTGGGAAAGAACCCCACCGCTGCACGTGGCAAGGAGGTGGGAGATGGACAGCGGCACTGCAAGGGTTGCATGAGAGGCAGCACCTCATACCCATTCCCATTTCCAATCCGAGTCCCAACCCCCGTGTCATCGTGTCCGTCCCTGTGCGCATGTCTCAAGTGATTATTAGCCGCTTCGGCCACAGTGCCCGAAGGGAAATTTACTCGAGCGAAATTTCCCTCGCATTCTGCCAGGCCACACCTCAGCGGCCTGCGATTGGTCCTCGTCTTCCCCGCACACTCAACGGCAACCATTTTCTGCGGGTACATACATATCCATCGGATTTCCCTCTCGCCGAGAGAGATTGTTGCTTTTACTGTTGTTGCCTCTTCGTGGCATAAATGCGAGGTGATGACGGGTGGTGCACCCGACGCGACGATGCTGCTGGGGCACAAAGACATACTTGCAACGACACTGGCGGTAACTTTGACGTACTCGGCGCAACGACAGCCAGCGACAATTTCTCGAGTTGTTGCAGCCTTCCCTTTGAGTGGCACGACTGGACCAGAAGGCCAACGCAAGAACGACGGCCTTGTCTTCCTCCCGTTTTTATGCTCTTGCATTTAACTTCTGCGGGTTGGAAAAGTTTGGGGATAAACAGCCAAAGAGCGGGTAACCGGCTATCCGTCACCCTGGACACATTTCAACAGAGAAGCACCTCGAAATTCAAAAGGTTAAACGCTTTTTGACGAGATTGGGTGATGTTTAACGCGGAGAATGTAAAGAAAAACTTTGTCACATCGACAATGTCACCCTGTATACCTGAGAGGCAACCAAAGTACGGATGGCCATTTCCACAGCCCTAAAAAAAAATCCAACTATTCACCCACGCAAATACAAACACAGGCACATACATAGGATACACCCCTTCACAAAGGGAAAGGAAAGCCGAGGAACAAGGAGCAGGCGGAAGCTGAAAAGACAAACCAAACATGGCGCCGTGCACAAAAGTTTGGCGCTACTTCTGAGGCTTGGTTCTTCCTGGCGTCCTGGAGTCTCAGCTGAATTGCTCCGTCCCCCCTTGCTTTGCTTTGCGCTTTCGGCAACTTGATGTTGGCTCTTGGCTTAAGACTAGGCTTTGGCTTCAATGATTCTGCCTTCTCAGCGTGCTGCCCCCTACCCCATCCGCGGCAGCTACAGCTACATGCCGATGCAACTTCTGCCAGGCAAGCTGGATGTGTTTTGGCAGGGCTTAGGATACCTTGCAGGAGTGGGAGGGCGAATCGGCAAACTTGTTGGCATCGAGCAGCACTTGTACACGGAATTGGCATAGCTTGCCTCCGCTGCTCCGCTCGGCTCGCCCTTTACCTTGCCGCTTGACGATTGTTGCTGCTGCTGCCCCTGGTGCCAGTTTGTGCAACTTTGAAAACTTTATTTACCGATTTCGACTTGAACAAAGGCCACTGAAATTGAAGCAACGTGTGCATTTGCTGTGGAATTATAACAAAGCAGCGAAAAAGTATCTGCTGCAAGATTTTTTACACGGTATTCAGAGAGCTAGAGGGTATACTCGTCCAAAATGTAGTTTATTTTGTAGTTTGCACGCTTTCATACGCATTGCATTATGAATTCTGAGAATTTTTGTTTGGTGGGTATTTTGTAGTCAAAACCATCTACTTAAACAAGCTCTAGCTTGTGTTCAGTCTCGTACCAAATGTTTTCCGTCTAACACTAGAAATTTAGTCATCAGCGAAAGAAAGCATAGAGAGAACAATCATTGTATACACATTTCGAGTCGGGAAAATGATAATTTAAGATTCCTGTACGATATTTAAACAATAAAGAAATTGATTGTATTTATAATAATAATAAATAAAACGCTCGCCGCTAATTACTGGGCAAAGTCCGCTTCGAAATGTCAAGCTTTATGGCAGCAATTGACAGCGATTCGGAGGCGTGTGCAGATAGTAATTAGGCCGGAAAGTGCACAGGAGAGGGAGCCAGAAGATAGTGGCAACGGGAGGGTCCTTGTCGATGCGCTGGCCACTGCTGGTGCCAAAGCAAATAGACGAAATTATGGTTTACAGATACCATAAAGATACTGTGAATCGCATCGGTATCTGCTAGATAGCTACGCTGCCCGAATTCAATTAACCTTGGCAACAATCGAATGATACGTTACCCAAAAGCTGCAGCTATCCTCAATCTCATTCCCCATCCACTAATCGGAATAATAATGACAACATCATGGTGCCGATAAGTATTCGACAGACCAAACGGAAAGCGGTAATAAAATCAAATTGACAATGGAAAAAAGGAATGGAAATTGTCATAAAACTCGTCAGGGAAGAGCCAGAGGATTCGGGTAGGAGGGTCGGAAAGGGGTCGCAGTCAACCAAAGGAATAATGTTAGGACACTGGAAACAAATTTAATAAAAGAGCTAAAAACAAACGGGAAAAGGGAAGCCGCTCTAGGGTTGGGATGGGTTTGGTAGGATAGATTCAGATTCTGATTCGGGTTCAATGCATTCATTGTGCAGCCACTCTCTCCCCGCTCTAGGGTTCCATCAATGGGCTTCGGAGACAGAGTAATATTGAATAACCACAACAACAGCAGCAGTAGCAACAAGGGGCACGCTCGGCAGCCTCAGGATAAATAGTTTTTGTATGGCCCTTCAATTATCATTTGAGCATGATAAGCGCTAAAGAGGCATGAAGACCAGGACAGACACCGCACTGGAAAGTGGCTGGCAGGGTACACTCGTGCATAGGAGGTTAGTGGCCAGAAAGAAACCAGTCTAAGTAACCACACAAGACTGCTTGAAAATGTGCCGAAGGAGCCAGGAGGCAAGACGCACATGAGGCGGAAGGCAGAAGGCACTCGGCAGGACCACCAGGCCTCAGGCCTGGTAAGAGATAGGGGTCATTAGATGGAAACATTTTCTCTTCCTGGCACTCGCCTCCACGGCTCTATTGGCGGGCAGTCAACTAGAAATGCCTAGTCTGGGGCTGGTGGTGGTGTCATTGTTTGTTTTGGCAAGGGCCGCAATCAGGACCCAGTCATGCCCAAGATGTAGGCTCCGAAGAAGACTTCTCAGGCACCCACAAATGCAGCTGCAAACAGTGCCGAGAGAAACTCCAGAAAACTGTCAACACGACGCGTGCGGAGAGTCCTCGGCACGGGAGCTCCGTCTACTCTTTCCCCAATAGTGCAGCCCGCCGCCGAATGGAATATGAAGTGCGTAAACAATGGGCATGGAGCGACACGGGAGTCCGCTGCACTGCACCCGCTATAAGCAGCGAGCACACAGCAGGCCCGACCCTGAAGTGGGCTAATTTGACGGTGTCCTGCGTGGCGTGCAACCCCATGTGCATTGAATCCCCTCAGTCCCGTGTCCAGGGCAGAGGAAAAGTGTGAAAGGATTTATGCGCATAATTTCGCAGATGTTTAGATTTTGGTATCTGAGTCCCACACTACACTAAGGAAAATTAACGTAATTTTCACCGCTGCATACCCCTCGTTGCAGAGATGGTTAAGTGAGGCTCAAAGCTAAGTGATAGCCTTTTTCTCCCAGTGTAGTACCAAATTATTTTCTGCCCGGTGTGCTGATCTGTGTCAACAGCCTCCGCCCAGGTCCAGTTCCCAAACGAGTTCCAGTATCGCTGGCAGGCATTGATAGACATGCTGTCTGCCCGCACTCGGAGGTTTGTCGAGTCCGGGGCCTAAGCCCTGAACTGGCGATGGGACTGGGACTCTCCGGCTGAGCCTCAAGTGGAGTTTGTATCTGTGAAGTGGCCCAGCATGTGCTCAATTTAGTTTTGAATATCGACTTTCCTTCACCTCCTTGAAGACCCTGGAATAATATCCATGTTTGTTTAATGTCAATTTTCGTGCTGTTGGTTATTGCCACGGAGCCCGCTCCTCTCATGCCTGGCTCTCTCACTCGTCTTATGGGATGGGAACAGTGACTCCCATGGCTTCTCTCTCTCCGACTCCAACTCAACTTCAGATCTGTCCGTTGCTCTGTCCTGTTTATTATTGGCTGTTGTGGTTTATTTGTCTTTGTATTTTGGTCTTTTTGCAGCTTTCTGGGGTTTGTTTATAATTAGCATTGAATGGGTTTCGTTCCGTCTGAAGAATGATGAAGAAAATGTTTATGCGAATCTCAGCATTTAACTGAGTTTCAAATCGGCTCCAAGTGGCAATTACATATCTTCACTTGGATTTTTCAGCGAAAAAATAAACATAATTTCATCGTGTGAACTTTTTGTTTTGTGGCATCAGATTAACCCCCAATTCCTCGATCCCAGCTATGTCAGATGTTCTATTTAAGCACCACTGCTCTTGCTCTACCATGCTTTGAGCATCACTATGTCCTTTACCAGGGGCTGTGTCAAAATGAAAATGATACTTTGAAGTTTAGGGCGACAACAACGTCAAAGACAAATACAAATATTGGCAATACGCTAAAGTCAAAATCAAATACGTGCAGAGTCCCAGTCGGCCAAACCGAAACCAATATTCATTTGGCGTCCACCGAAGCGGCATTAAATGGTTCTGCCGCCAGTGATGGGGATGTTAGAGATGGGGCCTAGGAGGGGTAGATGCTGGTACACAGGCCAGAAGTGGGTACATGCCCCCATACCACGCGTTCTTGGCGCCGCCCAGCGTAGCTATAAAGTTATATTTTCAAATGGCCAGCAATTGAAGAGCTCACCACTGTGCTTCCTAGCCATTGATAATCATCTTTCCAGCAAACAAGTCCAACATTTTCGGTTCCAG